TGGGAGTTTTTGGAAGGTATTTTTTCTTATTAGTTTTTTTCCTATAAAAGTGTTCTTGCTATAGACCTTTTAGGTGGGTTTTTTGTATTTAGTTGCAAAAATAAACAAGAAAAGTTTTTTGAAAAAGAAAAATAAAACAAGTGGTAGCTTCTGCTTATTTGGCTGATTAAAACCAGTATTGTTTTAAAGGAAAGTGTATAGACTTTATTATTATAAAGACAAATAATCTTTTAAGAATGTCTGTTTTTTGAATTGGCAAAAGGATCAGCGGAAAGAGTTTTTTTTCTAGTTGTCATATATTATTTTATTATATTTTTAAAATAAAATATATATATTGAAAATTTGAATATTAATAATTATATAACAAATTTTAAATATATTCAATATAACTATTAATAAGTAAATAATATTAAATATGATAATAACAATTATATCAATATTTTTAAAAAGATGTTTTTTTTAAAAATTTATATTTTGAGAAAAGTTATTATTTTTTAAAATAGTTTTTAAAAAAGAAAAGTAATCAAATAGAAGAAAATATTTGAAAAAAGAAAGGCTTAAAAAGAAAAAACTTTTTTTTTCTTAAAAAATAAACCCTAATTTTAATAAAAAAAAAATTATACTATAAAAGAATTTTTAAAAGAAAAAAAAAGTAATAAGAAAGAAAATAAAATAAAAAATAAACAACTTAAAAATTTTTTTAAAAAAAAATTACACGAGTTTTTTTTTAATTTTTTTATTATATTATATTTTTATAAATTTCTATTTTATAATTTCTAAAGAAAATCAACAAGCTTATCAAATCTTGATATAAGATTTTTTTCAAATATTTAATTTAATAATAGTTAATAAAGAAGAAATGATTATTCATATAATATAAATTATTTTGTGATTAATTTAATTTTAAAAAATATATAAAAATAATTACATTATGATTTAATTATTTTATATAATTTGATAATGATTTAATTAATTGCATTAACCAACTATATCAATTATAATTATATTAAAAAATTTACAAATATTTAAAAACATATACTGTATATGTATAACAATACAATTTGTAATGTAAATTTTTTGATATTATAATAATTTACAAATTATGTTTAGTTGATTTACAATATAAATTAATTCAATATAAATTTTAACATATGCGTAATATTTTTTTTATAAAAAAATCAAATCAATTATAAATCAATTACCAATAAAGCTTATTATTTTTGATTAAAAGGATGTCCAATTACAATTATTTAAATTAATTTAATGTATACAATATATACAGGGTGGATAGTAGATGAATCTATATTATTAACACAATACCATAATAAGTATAGGGTATGAATGAAACATAAAAAATTCAATTGTTACAACACTTGATAATATCATGTTTAATTAATTAATTCAGTGATTATTTGATAAAATCACAAGTGTTTTTATATACAGTATACGTTGCAAGTCAAAGTATTTGATGATTTCATTTTTGAATCAATAAGTCTTGTTCATTTTAAAAATCCATGTGTTTGTATATTAATTGTATTTGTTTAAACATAAGATCATTGCACTTTATTTTATGCATACTATAATATTTTTTAAATAGAAATCAGTTGAAAATGAAAATGAAAATTATAGAGTTGGTAAAATACCGTTTTTCTATGAAATCTAGTGATTTGTTCGACTTTTTAGAAATGGGGATAATATCTTTTTTGTAAACACAGGCTTGTCGCGGTTATGATAAGAATGAAGCATACCAGATCCTTGTCGAAATTGGATTGTTTATTCCGGGAATCACGCTAATCTTTTTATTACTATTATTACTTTTTTTTTTTTTGGAAACATCTTGTAAAGTACATGTACAAAAGATATTTTGGTTTACCTATTAATTCATTAATTTAGAATTCTAGTTTATACTATTACATCAATATTAACAAGGCTACAATATTCCTCTATGCATCATCGACAGCCGAATCAGTTGATTTTTGTGCCTCTTTTTAAAGGAACCATCGTGTCGACTTTGCGGGAAGATAAATAATAATGAAAACCCATCCAGTGATATTCAACTAACATCCTATCTCTTTGTAAAATGTCCATCTCAAAGGGAACCGATATTTCACCAGAATACCAACGTAAGAATAGTAACCACCAACGCTACCATCCCGACATTCCCTTTTTCCGTTCTCAGCTTTTCGGCACTTCCCGTTATTCTGTATGACGTAGATGGCCCCTGTTGCGACGGAGACAAGTTATCTGTGGCATCAGAGGCAGATGAAGATACCATCTCTGTGAGTGGTGGTAGTGATGATGATGATGATGATGGTAATGATGACGTTGAGAACGACGAATTAGATGAGAATGACTGAGGAGTGTCAAAAGAGAGAAATTTCGAGAATGATATTTGGAGGGTTTCTTGTTTATGTAGTGGCCGGTAGTCCAGATCTAAATCGTATATTGCCCGTCTGTCGTAATTCATTTTACAAGGACTGAGGGTGGCGAGTGCGCCATGGGTAAGCAGTACGCTGAATGTGAGGATGATCGTTATTAGGGAATACGAGAGTGTGTGCATTTTTGATAGATTGTCTTTGATTATTTTGATGTTATTGTCTTTTTCTTTTTCTTTTTGGCTCTTATACACAAAGTTTTTTCCTTTGGTGAATATAAATAATCGGAATTATGATTTAAATTAAGAGATATTATCATAAGATTTTAAGCTGTGTTTTAGGGAAGAAGAAGGTGAAGGGGGGTTTTTTTTTTTTCTGAGAAGTTTGCGTTATGGGTTGGTTCAAACAAAAATAAATAAAAATAGTGATTAAGAAACTTTCACGTGAACATCTTCAAATGTATTTAGAGAAAAACGTGTGCATTAAATGAAAAGGAGTCATATAGATTAAACTTAAAAATAAATAAATAAATGACAAACAATTAAACAGTTTCTCTCGTATATTAATTATTTACCTCGAAGCGAGGGCGACACGGTCCTTCACTCGAGTTGTTGTCAAATTAAATTAATTCAGGGAGTAAATGGGCTAATATGGGAGGTCACCGTCAAAGATTCGATTATTCGGTGCGTTTTCTGATTATTTGATGATTCTGATTTGATGCCTCGGTTATTATGCAATCTCTGGGTCTTCGTTACGACGGCGAGTTGAGGTTATTTTTTTTCCTCTCATGTAACAAAATTTCATGAAAAAAGCAAAAAACGAAAAATCCAGGTAAATATAAATATGGCGGGGTAGGATTGTTACATATATATTTTTTTTCCAAAAGGTCATTGATATAAAGAAATCCACTTTACAGTGGGACAGATAAATAAAACTAGAAAGTAGTTGGCAGTTGAATAGTAATATATGATACATACATTGCGTATTGCATAATACATACATTTTTAATATTAGTGCGTTATGTGTTAGAGTTGTTGAATAAGTATCATGTTACATATATTGTGCCTCAAAAGAAAACTCGTTTTTTTTTTTTCATCCATCAACCATTGTTATACGTGCACCAAAAAAGGTGATTACTTTCGGATTTAAGGAAAATCGGAATGTGAAGTGTGTATGTATGCGCGTACGTACGGTGCGACAGATTGTTGAGTACGTGTTTCATATTCAAATATTCGAATGAAAAAAAAGGCTCCAATGAACAAGCGTATTTGGCAATTCTTTATGTATATTTACATTGTTCTATTTACACGTTATAAATCACTTTACTCATTATCTAATTTCTATTTGAGGGCAAAAGGTTTTAACCAGAACAGTCGTCAAAGCATGTACGCATTACGTACTCTGTGTGCATCCTTCTCGTGCAACTTGACAGTCGGTTCTTTCGCTTTTTTTTTTTAAAGAAAAAAAATAAAAATGATGATGAAAACAAATAGAATTTCATTTTAAAAATCGGTACTCCGGTGATGGGCATGTTTTTCTTATTGAGAGAATTGTGAACACATATAAAAATGAAGAAAATATTCACGTTTATGTGACAAAAAAAACGTCAATTTTTTTTTTATGATCGATTGTGACATGTATGTGCATTTCTATTATTAACCACGGACGATCCCCTTTCTCTTTACAAAACAACTCCGTGATGGACTAAATGGCTGTCCCCGTATCTTCACGCCACTTCCTCGGAACTTGAGATGACTTGATTTGGCTAGCGCAAGTCAATTTATTATTGAGCATCCCGTCAATCACACCAAATAACAAAAACAAACGGAGATCGTTGGTCATTTTTTTTTCGACCTGCTGAAATATACGTGCAAGTACTTAACAAATATGCAATAGGGTTCAACTATTATTAGCACCGCTTCAAGAAATTGACAAGAAAGTGCGCTCGTGATCATATGATTCAGGCTAGTCACCTTAGCATTGCTTGACCTTAGCATTGCTTGATGCAAGCAAGGATAATACAAAGTTTTTTTTCTTATAGAACAAAATATTCAATACTCCGACCAAAAAGCATATGCAATTTTTATTAATTAATTAAATGATCATCGATCGTTCAAATTCGGCGTAAATGGACGAGGGCTCATATAGTGAATGAATGACAAAATTTATTTTAATACTTTATCATTTTCTTTAAAATGAAAAATCGCCCGTGACATCCGACTATAAATAATCAATAAAAACAAATTTAATTTATTTGAAATTTATTAATAACGAAATTAAAGTTGATTTGATTTTTTTTTTTAAGAAATTAATGCCGATAAGATCCAACAATCTTGTTTCTAATTTAGGTGTGACCGCAAAAGGAAAGATTGTCCGCCTGATACGGCTGAAGTGAAAAAATCATCCTTCGGGAACTCGGGAGCGATTGGTGAATTCTCTGCTAACCTTGCCCGTTTTGCGTTAGCCCCCAAGGGGTCATAGGTCGCCCCTGCCTAACCGAGCGTAATTAAAATCGAATCGGTCGTTCATACACTGTATTGGCGTTCACGTGTGGTAAGCGCATGGATTTTCGAGCCAACGTAAAATTTATATCAACGGCTTCAAGCATTTCAGATGTTTTTCGCATGTTTACTATTCAGATGGCGAAACCAATTAACCACGCACTAATCAATCCCTTTTCAGTAGAAGTTTCTAGAGTACCAAGTATTCCTGGGGAGGGAAAACCAAGGCGTAATGCGGTTTCACCGGATAAGTTAATTTCATTTCCTCCGGGTGCAACCACTCTGTACGAGAATTTTTTGCATGGAATACGAGAGTCGGGTAACGATAATTATCACATTACTCATACCTGACTTAAGAATAGATTTTATGGCAAATTAATCAATCTCAATAACATTCATTCATTCGAACATTTTCTACACAGGCGGTGGTAATTTCTTGGGTCATCGACAAGTCATCAAAGGTTTCGTGGGACCTTACGTCTGGGAAACCTACGTCGAGGTTCAACAACGTGTCGAAAATTTTGGATCGGGTTTAATTAAGCAAGGATTAAAGCCCAAGGATATTTTGGGTTTCTTCTCAAAGAATAATCCGGAATGCGTAATTATTAAATTGGACGTCCCCCTCTCTTTGTTTTAATCTTTTGAACACGATTAATGATGATTTCCTTCTCACAGGTTATTGGCGAGCTCGCAGGTTATCAATATAACTTCATCTCGGTCCCAATTTACGATGCATTGGGGGTGGAGGCCGTTAAATACGTCATCAATCAAACGAAGATGAAATATTGTTTGGCCACGCCTTCCAGGGCTCGAATACTTTTAAGTGTAAGAAAGGACTTACCGACTCTTAAAACAATAATTGTGTTGAGCGATGACTTTGAACAAGAATTAATTGATTATGCTGCTAGAATAGGGGTCAAAGTTATCAATTTTCTCGTGGTGGAGAGAGATGGGGCAACTCAACCAGTCGAAGCCATTAATCCTTCTCCTAGAGATATTGCCGCAATTTGTTACACTAGTGGTGCCACCGGTGCACCAAAAGGTGTGGTGTTGACCCACATGAATTTCATGTCGGTTGTTGGAAGTATTCATTTTCTCGCGGAAAGAGGAAAAACTGTGAACATCACTAGAGATGACGTGCACATGTCATATTTGTCTTTGGCTCACGTGTTTGAACGAATGAACGAAGCGGTGATCGTTTACAATGGAGGCGCGATCGGTTTCTATCAAGGGGATATGCCGAAATTGCTGGATGACATTGCCGAGTTAAAACCCACGATATTTGTTTCTATACCAAGAATGCTCAATAGAATTTGTGACAAGATACTCGCGTCGGTGAACGTGAAGGGCGGGATAACTCGATGGATGTTCAATGTGGCATTCAACACCAAGAAGGTTGGATTAGCTAAAGGGGACGTGAGTCATCGGATGTGGGATAGAGTTTTGTACGGACCGATTAGAGCGAAACTTGGCGGAAGGGTCAGAATAATCTTATCGGGATCGGCTCCTATTTCTTCGGACGTTAAGGACTTCCTAAGGATTTGCTTTTCGGCCGACGTGTACGAGGGATATGGTCAAACCGAAAACACATGTGCCCTAACCATGGTAAGCAAATCACTACTCGTCACCTTCTCGATTGTAACCGGTCGGTCGTCATACACGAAATACGTATGTACATCTTTCTTACATATGAATTCTTATCTTGAATCAGACTCTATGCGGTGACACTTCGTCAGGGCACGTAGGACCACCGCAATTATGTACAGAAATAAAATTGGTCGATGTGCCTGAAATGAATTACACATCAAATGACGAACCATATCCACGCGGTGAAATTTGTGTCCGCGGTCGTGCCCTATTCAAAGAGTATTATAAGGATCCAGTGAAAACTGCAGAGGTGATCGACGAAGGTGGATGGTACCATACAGGCGATGTCGGTATGTGGGACGAAGTGGGTAGATTGATTGTCGTCGACAGGATAAGGGATTTTTTCAAACTGTCTCAGGGCGAGTACATTTCTCCCGAAAAGGTATGATGATCCTTTTTTTTTAATGGACGGTGCACATACGTGTTGGTTAACAATTTCTCCCTTGTGAAAAAAGATCGAGCAAGTTTATGAAAAGCATGAGTTGGTGGCACAAGCATTTGTGCATGGCGATTCGCTGCAAGCATTTCTTGTTGCCGTGATTATTCCCAACCGTAATGCTTTGTTGCAATGGGCCAGGGATTATGATGGTCTTTGTGACTATAACTATGAATTTTTGTGTGTGCATCCGCAAGTTAAAAAGTACCTTCTGCTGACTCTCATACAATTTGGAAAAGACAACGACCTCAAGGGGTTCGAGAATGTGAAAAACATACATCTGAGCTCGGAACAATTTTCTTTGCAAAATGATTTGTTAACCCCTACATTAAAGTTAAAGAGGTATCGAGTGAAAACAAAGTATCAGAGAGAGATCGAGGCCATGTATGCCGAGGTCTCATAACAAAGATATCTATTTTGAATCTTTGTTTAACATGATTATATAGACAGTTTCGTGTGATGGGATTCGGGAGTGGTGGGACTATATACTACTGTGGTAGGATCTTACTTTGTCCCTTTCCGTTAAGAGGAAAAAGAGAATTGATTCGAACAGCTGGGCGAGGGGTCTAACCTCGTCCGGTCACACATGTCATATAAATCTGCATACGCACCTAATCTTATCAATTATATATGCACTTTTTTTAAAACAAACCATAAATAAGAGGATGGGATGTTTAGTTTTGGGTATTTGGGTTAGATCGGATGCAATCAAGTTAAATCGCATGTGCGCCACAAAACGCATATGGTAATCATTTTCCTGTGATCGACAAGTAATAATATAAACAAACGGTTTGTATATGATCGGGTGCTGGTTTGTTGGTTCCCTGCCTCAGTGATGTCGAGTATCGAACCAGAAGAATCTTCTCCATCGGGCTTTTCTTTTTTAAGGAATGAGGCTATATTCGCCATGAACGATCTTGACGATTGCTAGGTGATTACTGTATCAGCCAGTTTGATATACAGCACGTATCTTCTAAGAATAGATCTCATTAATTTGCCAGAGTTACATAATGTTATTGTACATTGTACGCACGCGTTTTATTTCCTCCCTAATGCAATATATATACATATACATTTTTTCCATCTCTAAAACGTTATGCCCGGCCTTAATTGATGCATCACGCATCTATGATGATATCTGCGCGAAAAACAAAAGCAACACGTTCACTGTTTTGTCAATATTTTCTTTCTTTTGTACGAAGATAACCATACTCTATTACGTAATGGAACAGTGATATGTACAGTGCGTATATATAAGTTTAGACTCCATAAAATCATTTAATCGTAGTAACTATTGAGGAACGTTGGGTTTTACGATTTTCTTCATGCGATGCTTGGTGGTGGCGATCCTATTATAAAAAAAAACCCGAATTTATATTGTTTACAATAATTACTTACTCGATAATCTATCTTGAAGATCTTTTAAAAGATGTTCAGGATTCTTCAACATCGAACGTGTTTAAGGTCAATTTTCGTACACAGGTCATCACCATCAACTCCGTTATCCTCTTTTAGGCAAAGATTTTTGACATTACATGCATCGGAATCGAATTCTGTGCGTCCTCTTCGAAAATTTTCACTCGCAAGGGTTATTATTTATTCTCAAATTTAACAATTTTCCATGTTCTAGGCGGAACAAGTGCAACATGGACGACTTTACTTTGACAATACATACCCTCTAAAAATTGTATCCTTCGATTTCCGTCACTACTTTGTGAGATCAAACAGGCGCCGATTGGAAGAAAAAGCGAGGTCTGGAAAGTTGATTCCACCTGAAAGTGCAATGCCCCATGATTTTAAGGTTGAAGGTGTTGAGCCCAAGTAAAAATTCTTAATCGATCTCTATATACCACAGTTATGAAATGTGTATCAGAGCTTTGTAAAATTCTTATGAAAAACCTTTTAGAAAGAAGGAAGGCGGAATGTTTCTTAATTTCACCTTTCGGGCACTTCCACCTCAGAGAGAGGAAGCACTCAACGAAATAACTCGATTGGTAGACGATCACTTGGCCAATAAGCGCGTAAAAATATCATGGTTTAACGTTCGACCACAAAAAGCCTATCTCGTTCAGGTACATGGCTTGCTTTATCTCCATCTGGGGTGTGATATTCGGGACAGCTGTTCGTCGCTAATATCATCATCAAAATCTTGGACGGCACATTAAACAGGGCGAACCGTTCATCGAAGATTTGGTCTATAGATATCCTTCGAGGTAACATTTTACTCTCTTCCAACGAATTTCTATTCATCAGTTTACTAAACGTCTGATGCTCTAATGTCCCGATAGTCGATTGCGCGTTGAATTCCAGGGTCCCGACATTCCGATAGTAGGCGATTTCTTCATATGATCCTATAGAATTTTATTGTCCGATAGCTTGTTGACAACTCTACGATCAATGTAAATAGGAAACCTTGTATAAATTATTTCGTCCTTACGGACTAATAAGAGATATAAGTTTAACTCCTCCTTCTTCGAAAGAACTTCCGAGATTTGCGATGATCTATTATGCAAACATGCGTTCGGCAACGAGTGCCAAGAATTGTGTTCATGGAATAGTTACTAACAGTACAAGATTAAATATCGCTTATGACGTTCCGCTGGTAAGTTTTTTCGATTATTATTTTTTTTTTTTGATCAGGACATTTCTAACATCGATCGATCGTTCGGAAATAGAAAACGAATGTCGTCTATAAGTGGATGGTTGATCACCCCAGAATTTCGGTGAGTCATATACTGATCAAGTTATTAATTGGTCTTTGTATCTCACATTAGTTATTTTCCTAGGTTCCACTTATTGCCGCCTTGGTTGCTGGGATTTCGTATATCATGTAATATTCTTTATTATCATCATTGTTATTCCTCGCGTGATCATTGTTTTCCAGGTGGAACTGAGATAATTTTCTAAATCATCTGACAGCTTCGATCCCATTCGGACATTCTTCATTAAGACTAAAATCACACAACGGCTCAACCCTCAGGAATATCGCATTTACAAATGGCTCGTAAAGGAGACCATTGATCGATGGACGGCATACCGTAACAAATCGATTGGAGACTCCCTGGATGATATTAGCTCTTGGAAAGAAAGGGAACAGACGGAGGCCGACTTAAAAAATTGGCTACAAGAACCGCCAGGTCTTCTTATATTAACCTAATGTTCGTTAATCGTTAACGTTCCAGCAAATTGTAACATTAATTTTCACAGAAACATTCATCGTCGTGATGGGACCAAGTGGAAGCGGGAAAAGTGATTTCATTGAGCAAGGAATAAAGGATAAACGGTGAGGCTTAATCATTTATTAAATGATTGGGTGAAATTTCGAAATGAATCAAGTTGAACAAATTATACCATCAAATAATGTTTAGGAAAAAGGTTATACTGAAATGCGACGTGATCTTAAATTCTCGAACAGAGAATGAACTCTTATTAAAATTAGCGAGGCAGGTTGGCTACTTCCCGGTGTTCACACCATTGATTTCCCTTTCCAATTTCATTGATGGATTGGCAAGTGCTACTATAGGCCAAAAGACAGGTAGCATGTTTTCACGATTGATTCATCATTGATCCAAGTTTATTTACGTGAAAAAACATTTTTTAGTCGGATTTACTTCAACAACTGAAACGGAAATCAAAAAGATTCTTGACGCGTTGGCAATTGCCCTATATGACATTGCACCTAAATCATTGACCAAGCGAATATCTTATGGTCAAGATAAAATTATCCATTCATATGATCCTGCAGACATTCCTGTGATCGTGATTGATTCTTTCATGTCAAAAGATACGCAGGAAAAGCACGAGTTATGGGGGCATTTGGCGAAAGTTGCTGCCATGCTGGTCGAAAGTAGGGTCGCACATGTGATATTTATAAGTTCCAACACCGGAATTGTTAAGCACTTGAGTAAAGGTAATTAATCTTTGATATGTATAGTTTCAGTTTATGAAAAAGAAATTTAATAATTGTCATCGCGACCTTTATTTTTTACCCATGAAGCGCTGCCAAATAAAACATTCAATTACGTGATTCTCAGCGATGCTCCGTTCGAAAGATCAATCGGTTTGGTGAAGAAGCATGTCGACAAGGTAAATATTGAGGAATTGGTTGACTCAGCAGGAGCACTTGGCGGCAGATTAGCGGATCTGAGAATTTTCATTAACAAACTTCGAGCGGGCATATCACCACACGGTAAATTTCTATATCTAACAAGCAAGCCTGCTGTAGGAAAGATTGAGGATTGTAAATTTACTTTTTTTTTTATTTTTATTATTCAGAGGCGTTGAATCAACTTGTCGACAGGGCAACAGTCGAAATTCGCAAGCTTGCATATGGAGACGACACCGAAGATTCTAGAACAATTCCGTGGAATGGGATCCAGTTTTGGAAAATTATGAAAGAATTGGCTCAAAAAGATTATGTAATGATTTGGTTCCATGGAAGTCCGTTCTTTCATGATTGATGATTTAAGTTCTATACTGATTAACAATATTCATACCCGTTACAGGTATCATATGATGCAGTTAAATTCTCGCCAATATTCAAAGGGGATGATACACCGATAAGGGCGATGGAAGAGGCGGAATTAATTTCGATTACACAATTTGACGGTAATTTTATTCTTTGCGCTTCTTTTTATTGTATTTGATTTTGATTTTTCATAAACGATGATGATGCAGGCCGACCAAATCAAATTAAGCCGGGAAAACCGCTGTACAAAGTGGCATTCCAGCGTATATGTTCCGACAGTTTATTTGCGGCCACTATGGAGCTACAAACTTCGCAATACTTATATTCTTATGAGACAGATAAGATAAAGAAATACGAAGAAGAGCTCGTATCATTGGGACAGTTATTTTCGATTCCTCCAGAAGTTGAACAAAGGAGGAAATTTTTACTGGAAATGACTAAAAGGAGACATGCCAAAGTTGAAAAATATCAACGTGAGATCGATAGTTTGAAAAAAGTAATCTCGGGAGTATGAAGAAGGTATTTTATTATGCGCATGCAATATACTGTACCGCACATATACAGCGTGTGTGTCAAGTTAAATGAAAGCTCTTAAAACTTTAACATATTAGTTTTAAATTGAACTATTTTTAAATAAAAGTAATTGTAAAATAAATTATTTGCATTTAAGTCTTCTATATACAGTATATATTATAAATTCACAGAGTGACAGTAAAATTGTCTTATATAGTGAATGGTAAAATAAATTAAATGAACTAATGAAAACTGCTGGGAATTAATTAGCTTGTCTAATTTATCTTGAATTCTACCGAATTTCTATTGTTGCAAATTTTCCAAAGATAAATAGCCAACTACATCAATACTTTATAACGTGATGGTTTTGTTTTTGCACCTGATTACAAACAACCAACTTTAGATATTTTTCGGCTTCGGAAATAACTTTTTAACACCATAACCGTGATAATATACAGTATGTTTCTCATATTATACATAACAGTGATATTTCCGTTTCTTGCTGCAATCTTAAACATACCACTGCCATTTTCATCATTTTCATATCCTTTTCTGTTACGCCTTCGCCTTTAAATAGAAAATTTCCGTATCTCGGTTGTGTCCACTCCACATCACCTTATCTGCTGGGTTTCTTGCATCCTTTCTTGACTTTTCTTCTCCGATTAATTCGTGAGATTACAGTACATATACTAACCTTTTTCAATACTTTGTGAGGGTATCCCCGGCAGCTACATATGCCTTAAAACATTTTCATGCTTTCTCCTTGTGGTTTTTTTTTTCCCAGATTCCTTGATGGATTCATCAAGAAATCAAATATTTGGCCATCATCCCACTTTTCTTCCTTGATTCGTGCATCTGCATCAACTATTTATATTACCTTAAACGCCAAAAGCATCTCTGCAAATGTTTGCTTGAGATTTTGATCCAGATACCAAACTCCAGATATCAGAATTAGGATTTTAGAAAAATCAATTCTTAGGTTCAAATGATGCTCAGGAAGATACACCTTTAAAGGGACCAAATCACGTGATGACCTTATTACGAATACTGACGACGATATCATTTTCTGACTCGTATGAAACTTATACAATTCTGTTTTTCCCTAGAAAAGCATATCAAGGCTATAGTGTAGAAATCAGACGAAATATACTATAGCATTGAGTCGATCAAAAGCCTTAACCTATAAATTTCATGTTTAATATCGGTTGTAGCGTTGCCTCCCAGCTTTTCAGGGGTCACGTACCTCAACACTTTGGATGTTTGTTCGAATGTTTTGCGTGACGTTCAAAAATTCTCGACTCAACTAAGATCTGTGATCTTCGCACGTCTTTGAGATGTGATCAATGTATTCTCTGAACTTAAATAGTGATTCAATATTTTGCACCGAAGCCAGAAAATCGAGTCCTCGGGCAACGTCCAACGCCAATTTTTTGGCGAGCCTGTCGCTACCCTAGGACTAATCTTCGCCTGACGATAATCCAAATAAAGGTGAGGCTTTCAGATTATGATTTAACCGATCTCTCGCACTTGCTAATCTTCTCCCGACTATCCTTCTAGTTGGTCTCTTGAGATTAAAAGTGCCATTACAAACGAAATAAAGGTAAATACTGTTCTTAGTTTAAAGGTCTATTTTCCTTATTTATCGCGACGTGCAAAGTTTCTTAGAATTTAATTTAAGGTTCTAAGCTAGAGAATCGAGTTAAATGTTAAATATTAGCTAACGAACTCGTACAAGAAAAAACGCATCTTTTTACAATGGCCAGGTCTTGCCTGAGTATTCTTCTGTACACAGGCACGGAGTTCACTCGGGATACTCGGACATCTTGCGCTTCAAGGAATTTCTGAACCTGTAATATGTGAGGGTCATCATAGTTCGAGTTGTCTTTGAATTGATTTTGCATGTGATGCGATTCATCATGCCTTGGCTTTCGAACATGGGAAGCACTTCTTTTTCACGGATTGATAAAATATGACAGTGCAAGTTTTGGATAGACAGAAGTGAATATCATGACTTTTTATAGCATTCCAAATAATACTCACCAATTTACTCTGTATCGAACAAAAGTGATGTTAAAATGTTTTGGAAATTTAATTGTGAAGCATAATAAAATATGCAGCTGTTTTTAAACTGTCGAATTCTACTTCTATTTATATATTTTGGACGCGTCTATCTCACCTCTGTCATTGTTACACGATACGTCACCATGTCGCGTATCTATCCCCTATTTTACCTCGTGTCTTCATGAAAAATTTGAACATCCCTCCTTATAATAAATCTCACATTTATCAAGTTTTCTAATGTTTTGTAAACTTTTTTGCTAGATCTTTGAACAGACTCTGGATAGAAATCGTTAATGTTAAGTTGTTTGTCAGAACTAATGTTCCGAATTGCAATTTCCTTCCATTTTAAAATTTCCGATTAATAATAGTGATAGGTACTGCATAGTAAAGCTAAATTTATTAAACTTATTAAATTTATTAAAAAGCAACGAAATTAATTAAATAGTCAAATTTATTCGTAAAAAAAAACATGTAAATGGAATGAAGAAACCCAAGCATATTTTTAATTATAATATTGCGAATGTTTCAATATAAAATTGCCGATTCTTTCTTCACGTACAACTGTTCAAAGTAGAATTAAAAAGTATTTTAAAATAAATAGCTACAAATAATCCAAGATCTAATCATCAAAAAACACTTTGTAAATTGAAGTATTAAGATAATACTCAAACACATGTCCCTTATTTTACAAAAAAATTATGTAATCTCTTAGTTTAAATCATATGTTAAACCGTTTAATGCAAACAAGATGCAACAAATAATTAAATAATTAATATTTCAAAAAAATTCCATAAAAGAATGATTTTTCAATAGAGATGCAAGAAACCTGTATAGCAAATATTTCTATGCAAATTGCACAAAATTTAATTCTAAATCTTTTATCAATAAAAAAAAAAAATGCATTATATAAAAATTTTAAAATAATTATCTTATTTAAATTTTATTCAAACATTTGATGTACATTACAAATAAACTTGAAAAAACATAATTTAAGAGCAAAAGCCAAAGAACGATTAATAATTGTGATTAGGAAAGTATCAAAAAACATCAAAGAAAAAATTATTAATACATTTTATCAAAAGAATGCATATGGTAATAGATATAATGAAATGCCCATAAAATATACAACATTAATAATATTTTTTTTTGCTTTAAATTTTCAAGACTTATTGTAATCCAAAAATATTTACTATCTATTTCAGAACAAACAAATAATTTTGGTCAATGATTGTACACATAAAATTCTTTGAATAAAAAATTTCAACATTATTAATTAATATCTTCAATAGCTTTTGTCTATTCTTCTTTTAAGAGAACAGGTTTTCAAATTTTTTAAATAAATTATTTCAATATATTAAGAAATGCCGACACTATCTAAAAAGACTTTCAAATTCTTATGTTGTTTAGTTGTTAATGAAAAGTAGTCAAATCATTTTGCTATAGATAATTTTAATTTTTTAAGTAAATGAAAATGAATTTGTCAATACTTGAATCAATTTCATACAATATTTTCTAGTTATTTTTTATTTTCAGACTTTTAACACAAGTGTGGATGTAAGTTCTATGATACAAAAATTGTTAGTATATGAGTTAGTTAACTATAAGAATTAAAAATTAGGGGTTGGGTCACTTAATGTGACTTTTGAATTATGTGACTAAACTTATGCAATTAGAGTTAGAAAGTTTAATTTCAGTGATATAAAGTATTGATAGAAGTCTAAAAAAAATTTTTTTTTGTTCTCTAATAATGGTAGTGATAGTTTCTTAATAAATTGCAATGGAAAATATGTTGTGAAACATCATGGTTATTGAAAGATCTAGCATGAGGCTATCCAGAGAGGAAACACGAAGGAATGTGTAATGTTCTCAAGAGTCACTTTGATATTAAACTATTTGAATGCTTTACATGAAAAGCGCACTTAAAAGTGAATTAAGAAAGAGTTAGGCCTATATGCTATGACACGCACATATAGAACATTTTTAAAGCACATAGGTTTATATGAAAAAAAAAATGAGAATAACAAACAGATTTCATAGAACATGGATGGAAGCACTATCATGAGATTATGTAGCATGCGTTTCTCTCCTGGAAAAAGATTGTATTACGAACAAACAGCGAATCGTGGTATGTATTCAATCCGGAAAAAGTTAATTACAGAGGAACGTAAATATAATTATATATATGATGATACGAATGTAAAAAATTTGCTCGGTAATCGTAGGCAAATTATGGAATCAAATTATTACTGTTTTTAACTAAGAAATTCGAATTTCATGTCGAGATCACGGATATATTCGTTTTTATCGTTCAAAATAATTCTTCAAACGTCCGAAAAGCCTGTCACCGTGGAGACGCCCTTATTAGCACGCCTGAGCCGAGAGTTTGAGAGGAAACCCTGAACTATTTTTTTAAATATTATACGATACGCGTAATTCTAAATATACATCATGTATTGTATTCCAAAGAAAAATAATTTTTTTGTTTCTTTATCCTTTAATTTTCTTTCTCTTTCCACTACCACCCCCTGAACTACTCTCTCTGCTCTCCTTCTTCTTGGATCTATTTTTTTTATCCAAACTATTACTTTCATCTTCGTCAATATCCATAACATCGGCATCATTATTATTCTTGGTTGAATCCGTCGAAACACTAAATCCGTGAATAAATGGTTTTAATAGCTCTATTTTCAATTTCTGTATTGCTTCACCTTGAACGCTAACTTGCACTGTTACTTGATCAAATAACTTAATGCTTATTTTTGACCCAGTTTCAGTTGTTGATTCCAGACAATTGTCGTGAGAATTGTAGACGACAGGGGGTGTGGTGTTAGATGACGTCTGATTCTTAGGAAAGTACACGATTCCTTCAATGCCATACCTGTTGTTAAAGGAAAACATCAGATAAGTAAGGAAAAACAATCTAGAATAAATACTATAGACAGAATATAACGAATAATCTTGGGGTAAATAACTACTTTGGAATCAAGACAATAAATCCATTTTTCAGTATTCTCGCCACGTATCCATTGTTTTCTTCCACCTTTCCTTTAAAGTAGATATTTGTATGCAATTCTACCGAGCTACGAGCTGCCATTTGCGCCATTCTATGGCGGTGGTTAAGTGCTAGAAATGCATGTGTTTAGTAAAAAAGAAAAAGAAAAAAATGACTTCAATGACAAATAGAAACCGTATTTACTTTCACAAAGTTCCTGTATCTTCCGTGTGTCAGTCAACTTATTACTATAAGCTTGATCAGGACTAATGGATGCAGCCAACATCCTATGCACAATTACATCTGAGGGAAAATACCGTTGCGAAAATTTTAAAATCAAGACCAAATTATAATTCACTATTGAAAGAAAACCGCCATACCAGAATATCTTCGAATAGGCGACGTGAAGTGAGTGTAAATATTTGTTGCAAGTCCATAATGTTTGTAATCTTTGGCTTCAAACGAACCAGAACAAATGTAGGCAGCTGGTAACATACATCTTGTTGTCAGTATTCTCAACAATGTATTGAAATATGAATCCCCTTTTATCTGAAAATTACAAAGTCAGAAAGGTGCATAGAGTAATCGATGTTATAACAAACGAACAAACTTGACGTTCGTTTGATAAGTAGAATTTTACTTACAACAGCCTTATCTAAAGAATCAGAAAGCGACTTCGAAGAATCGAATCGCATCGATAGACCAAATGAACTTAATGCCTTTGCAAGTTCCTCCAATTTTTCTTTAATCGGAGAAGGATGATTTCTGTTGTAAATAATAAAATCGAACTCAATACAGTAGCTGACCTAAATTGCTTTTCGTATCGACAATCTTAGATTACCTTAACAGCGCAGATTTCGAAAATTTTGAATGAATCTTTTCGGCCACAGAAATATTGGCCAACAACATAAATTCTTCAACAAGAGCATTGGTCTCTCGTGACTCTTTCATTTCTGTTTTTGTTGATGTAACATAAAAATATAGAGCACTCGATGATCTCATGAATTGCCAACACAAAATCTATTCTTAATACTCATTTCAAAGGATACCAATATCAACCGGATCTTGTGAATCAAAATCTAGTTGAAATCTTACTTCAGGACTTGCCAACACCAATGCTCCTTTAATCAAACGACGTTGACGAAGCTTTTTGGCCAACTCATTGAGAATCCTAATACTTTTGGTTAGATCATCCTGCATTTTTCTGGATATTGGGAATCGACCATAAGAATTACAAAGCATGAAATTGTACAAAAACAAATGAATGAATGAGTGCATTAACGTACAAGTCATCAATACGCATCTGAGCTTGCTCATAAGTCAAAGATGCCTTGGAGGAAATTACACTTTTTGAAAAAGTAACATTCACAATCTCCGCCTCGGAATTTAATTCCTGAAAGATAGAAATAATTAATTTCTACTATATGAAGGTATAGTCATTAATGAAGAAAAAGTATAATAACTAACCCATATGCAAGAAAATGACAACCTGTCCTTTCTTTCATGGAGAGAGCAAAGGTCTGCAAAATCCAGGTTATTCGCATTAACATTTGTGTAACACGGTAATATTTATAATTTGAAAACCACTATGTTTATAAATAATCTAAAAAGGCCTTACTTGTTCCTAATAATGGAGGCAACATGTCGATACGTTTATCCACCAGGTATACTGTCGTCCCACGATTGGCAGCCTCCTCATCCAATGGAGTGCCTTCCTTGACAAAATGCGTGACATCGGCAATATCTGTGGAGATGACACGATCATGGATGGTTACGGTTTAAATCGTTTTTTAAGAAAGTGCGATTACAATACTTACGGACCCCAACTTCATAATTTCCGTTTGGAAGAAGACGTGCATGTAACGCGTCATCAATGTCAGTACATTCTGATTAGAATGAAAATAATCGTCAGAATCGTTCCTTCATAACACTAACAATGCTAAATAGAAAATACAAAAAACATACTTGGAGGGTCAATGCTACAAATGTTCAAGTGTCTTAGGTCCAGACGATCACGCAAATGCTCCTTCTTTACCTTCCAGTTTTCACCCTCAGGAGGCAGATTTTTAAGAACTTGTTGAGTAAATTCTTGAAACGGCACATCGTGCTCTAATAATAAAACCTCGGTTTCCGTATCCTTATTTCCAGCTTCTCCCAATGCTCTTACAAAATGCCCCAGCGGATACCTTGATAAAGATCAAAAGAATGTGTTAATATCGGCAATAATAAATCATAAAGTTGGGATAGTAAAAAGTAAGTATATACTTCGAATCTTTTGGCCATGAATCAATGGCAACTAAAATACGTTTACCAAGCAAGTTCTTGGCTTGTCGGGTTCGAATATTTATCCTTGGAATACGAGTATCCATGGCAGAGACAAACACATTTTCCGAAATCGTGGAGGTAGCGGATCCTTTTATGAATTTACTATTTATGTACCCACAGTAGCTGCATTATTTAACGAGAGTCAACAGATAAAAAAATTCATAGAAACAATATACGCGTGAGCACATGTAAAATACGATAAAGGATACGATCTCCAATTTTTCTTAATTATTCCGACCACCTTTCCGGTTGGCTTTGGTTTCTCGATGTCTTCGTTAGCTACTTTTCCAAGTTGTTCGTCTTTTAACTCAGTAGACGCATCACCTTCTTCATCTATTCAAATAGCAATGAATCTCATAAAAAAAACTGATAATCGAATCTGAGAATATATTGGGCAGGAAAAAAAAAAATTACCTTCTTCTACCACAGCAGAAGTAGGGGCCCTCGACCATTCGGATTTTGGTAGTAATTGAACGGCTACCACGTCTCCTTGAATAGCTCTATTCAAGTAAAGTCGACCCAAAATCAAAATCTGAGTGTCGACGCCCTCTACTGTACTAAGAATAGAACCCTACGATTTCAAATATTCATTAGTTATGACATACATTATGAGGTTCATTCTCACCAATCACCAACCTCAAGATAATTGTGCATACTAATGTTCAATGATCCTTGATACAAGGTTCCGTTTTTGAGACCATTGGATATCTTCGTTGCATTAAAGTGCTTATGTTATGCGAATAAGAGGAATGCAAATAATTAACAACTTAATCTTTTTTAATCGGAAAATCACATGTATGATTGTTAAATATTATCGCACGCGAATTCACGCGTTCATAGTTTTTCTGTGATCATTTGCATGCGTATTCAGCCAAAAATCTGGGTGAAACTGCACACAGAACGGAAAAGTTAAGCCTTTCGATCTTAATTCAAGAATCTATACATACCTCTTCGTAACAAATCTTTTTATCTTTCTCAATGTCAACAAAATTTTCCACCATATTAATCAAATCTGGATAATCGGTCATTCCCACAACATACTCTTTGACTGTAGAAACTTTGTGTTAAGAAAAGATTCGGCAGCAAAAAAAAAAACAAAGCTTTTATTAAATATTTGAGACAGAACCAGAAAACGCTAATATTCCTTCTGCTTTAGCATTGTTTATATTTTCAACATCATCTGATAATAAAGCAACCTCAATGATATTCCCACTGTTTGATGCTTTCTCAAGGTGGGTGGAATACCATTTTACTGCGGACCTTATTGCTAACGATTTAAATACATGTTAGAATTTAATTACGAACGAGTTCGTGTAAGAAAAGAAATAAAAGGATTGCATTAGCTAGAAACTGACCTCGACCTTTCCACTCATTGAGCGGTTCTTCCTTTTTTCTCTCAGTGTAGGTTTCACTTTTTTTGTTTACATAACAAAAATTCGAATGAATATCGAGAACGAAATACATTTTTTTAAATACAAGTTTAAATAATACCGATGATGCTCGTTCGGAAATACATAAAACCGACGACTTTTATCATTGATTAATGTGCGTAGTCGGTTGTAGACGGATAAACTTAAATTTCGCAAATCTTCATAAACTGTTTGCAAAACAATAACATCATGAATGGCTTGATGCTCAAGGAAATAGATCTAATTCAAATTATAAAATTGAAGAAACGGTTTTAGAGGAATCCTATAACGCGATCTATAAATCATAGTTCAGGGAAACATACTTGATTCAAGAAGACATTGGTATCTGGCACGATGTAATGCGGAGCATTCAAGAGTTGCGTGAACAAAGCATTCGCACTCAATACCGGTTCGGTATGAGCACAAAGCAAACAAATTTCTGCAGAACACCATATGTCGTCTCTCAAATAATGTTCCCTGACAGTTTTCACAGCATTTCCTTTCTTGGTACGCTTAAGAAATGTCTTCGAATGAAGCATTCTCGGTTGATCTGTGAACTTGGAAGTTTTCGAAAAATTGGTGACCAATCGACAAGCCACTCGTCGATCCTCTCCACATGTTATACGATCAGTACTGTATAATTCACACTCATTACGTGACGTTCATCCCTCATATAAAACAATGGTAATTCGTACTTTATTTATTTATTTAAGGTGTTTCGTGTAGTTTTAAAGTCGTTCTAAAAAAATTTTTTTAGTCTACAACTTGCGACGTTGACCCAGAAGTATTGCAGAAACTTAAAAAATTTAGGTTTGGGAAAAGTTCTCAAGGGAATGCTGCATTCGTTTGTAAATATATATGGTTAAAGCTTTATTTTCTTGAAATTCAATGGGTTGATTATAGTTAGGATAAACGTGATACTCTTAAACGTGGGTCAACTAATTTGCATTAATGATAAAATATTTTTCGCAACAGTGAAGATCGATAGAGAACATTTGTTAGTTGTTGAAGATAAAATATATGATAGTATATCGTTAGATGATCTTGTTGAAGGTATCGCAGTGATTATTGACAAGTGCTCGAATTACATTTATAGTAGTTACTGAAATAAATTTATTTCGCTATTTCATTTTTTAAACAAGATCTTCCCGAAAACATCCCACGATACATAGTGCTAAGTTATGAGGTATCTAATGTCTTTAAATAAATGATATTCTATTTCTTTGCATTTTATTAAATCCCCGGGTATCTTTGTTCAGTTGTCCCATAGCGATGGCCGCAAATCTTATCCGTTAGTTTTGATCTATTATTCTCCGCCTTCCACGAAACCAGAGACGCACATGTTGGTAAATATTCAGGAAGCAGAAATGAAATATATACTCGATCTCCACGATTTTCTAATAGATATATATTATTATTAAGTATGCAAGCGCGAAAACACATTTTCAACAGAAAGCTGATTTAAACAAGGTAATGATAAAAAAGTTGGTTTATATTATATATCTCTTTCAGTTCCAGTTTCTCTAAATTATCCCACATATCAAAAGGTATTTGACATTAGAGAAGCCGAAACATTGACCGATGAGTGGTTGAAAGTAAGTTCACATTAACTATCAAGAAACTGTTGATTTTTCTTTAAATAACGAAATACATTTATTTCACGCGTTCACACTTTATGAAATTTGCTTCTACCTTTAGGAAAAATTATTACATCACTAGAGTTGTGCTATGTAAATTATTTATATCATATTGTTTCTTAAATTAACATTTAAAAAATGCATTCAGCTGACTTTATATATGCCAATATTGTGACATGAACTTTATGCATGATGTAAAAAGGTTATCATTTCAAGCGTTCATTGATATCCACATATTCCTTAGAAAAAAAATACAAAATTTTTTTTATTTGGCTTATCATTTCAAACCGCAAAATTACTGTAAAACTATATTTATATTTTATAAGCCATACAATAAAAGGAATATTCTCTTTCAAGTTACACGCATTTAATCCTATACATTCTCACCAATATGTTTGCATAATTTGACATTAATCACATTCTTACAACACGAAGCTCATTATAAATTAATAGAAACCAAGTCTGTTGCCTATTGTCAAATGAATACGATTACCATAGCGTAAACAAATATTCAAAGCTCTATTCAAATACCTTTTAGCATTAATAAAATTCCAAATCCATTTCCATATCTCTTAATGCCCTTTTTATTTTGTTGTGGTTTTCAAGGTATTTATACCTTTTTCCTTTAATAAAATGACTGAATCAAACCAATTAATTATTAGGATAAATACAAAAGTATTTTAATTATTTTATACTTGGGATAAATAGAGTGAATTATAACTGGCGGGATGCTTAAGAGCATCAGGAAATTTTTAGAAAACCTTTGAATATTTTCAAAATTTTTTATAACAATTATTTTTTAAAAATTTTATTAATAAAAAACTTTAGAAATTTTACAATTAAAAAAACTTTATAGTATTAATAGCTTTATTTAACAAATATTTACAATTTTTATCAAATCTGAAATTATATAAACTATATTATATATTGCTTCTATATTGATTTAAAATATGTATAATCATGCATACATGAAATTTTGTTGATTTAAAATTATATTATTGTATCAATTTAAATTATTTTGCTTATATCTAATATTAAGAAAAACACTCTAAAAAATTAGTTTTAAAACAAAATAATATTAGTTATTTTATTTAAGATATTTACTTTTTCATAACAAACTTTACTATCTATTATATAATCAAGTAATTCTTTTAAAATTTATTATAATATATATATTGTTAAATTATAATATTTAATAAAAATCTAAATAATTAGACCTATGGGTCCATAGCACAGTAATAGTGCTTCATAGGTTACCAGGAGAAGGTCTAGGGTTCAATCCTGCCTGGTTACAAAAAATTTATCACCTTCATGATTGGTTGACTGGCTTCCAATTCATGTCGTATTCAATCAGCTGACAAATCTACTCCCAAATTTAATTAGGCTGCATGAAGATGGGACCTCTGGTCTTCCCGACGATCGCAGGCTGAAAACAGGTCGAAGCAAGGAAAGTTGCATGAGGAAAGGCTTCTGATCTAACTCCGGTAATAAGCCCACAAAACTCTAACCCAAACTGGCGACAGCAGACTCCGTCACACAACATAAAGAGGTTAATTCTAAACTGATCTATCCCAATCTGGAGCTTGTAGATCTATCCCAATGGTGGTGTTCCACAGAACTTAATCATATGGCCAAAGGGCAAGGTATCAGCTACAGGTGGTGAGAAGACCAGACAAAAATCATTAAGCCAAGTGAGTCTAGTGAGGATCTACAAGATTAAATCGGAATTCAAGTAAGGATGCCAGTTCCACAGGTGGTGAAAACGGTAGTACTGTGTTATGCTAGTGGTACATCTCTAGGATCAGTGATAACAGTGATTGGAATACTGGAATCAATCTCTATAATAATATTCCACAATGTGCCCCACCCACGACGGATACAGTCGAGACTGAACCTAGTAGGAAGGTGGTTTAAACTAGTGATAGGATTTTCACCCCCTATGTAAGTCCCACCTGGCATGTGGATCATCTACTTGATGTTTAAAATTTCGTATAGCTGGGTATGTCGCAATTGGTCTAGGGGAAACTAGTATTACTGGAAACGGTAATTATTAGGTAGTATTAATTTGCATTTAGGATAGTAATAGCCTACTTTGTAAAGATACTTGATGTATTGACTAAAACAAATGTTTAATAAACGTCACGCATCTAATGCCCTTAGCCAATTTAAAAAAAAAAAAAAACAAATTTGAATTAATTTGTTTATTTATTTTAAATAGGTATTAGTTATTTAATATTATTAATATAAATCCATATACTTGATAACAATTAATATTAATATAACTCATTCTGTTAATCAATTTACCAATCCAAAAAATATACATTCTCAAAAGATTTTATATCTTTCTAATAATAAAGTCTATATACTTTCCTTAACAACATTGGTTTCTTAACTAGCAAAGCGCGCAGCAGCTACTACTTGTTCTCCTTTTCTTTTTCAAACACCTTCTTGTATATTTTTGCAACTAAATACAAGAAACATATCCAAAAGGTCTACAGCAAGAACACCTTTTTTAGAAAGAAAACTGACAAGAAAAAGTATACTCCAAAGATCTCCAGAAGGTTCAAAAGCTCAGAGAAATAAAGAAAAAGAAATCTTTAACCTTTATATTATCTTTCTGGCTTTCTACTTCTTTTTTCTCAAATGTGTTTTCTTTTTTCTGGTTTTTCTAGAGAATTTTGTTTACCTCAGTTTGACCTTGAATTTTTGGTTACACCAGACTTTCCTATAAGATAATTGGTTAAGGTCACAGATTGATTGATCAAGTCAGCTATAGAAAAAATAAACAAGACACATTCTTCTACGTATTCCAAGTCATGTAACATCAAATTGATGATGTGATTAGTTTCAGAAAAAGTTGGATGGTTTTTTAGTTGAAGAAGTATTAAAGAAGTTCTATGAGAAGTTGGAAGTTGTGAGTGGAAGAGAAACAATTTTCTTTTTCTTTTTTTTTTTATTTGTCTCTTTTCTTTTCCTATTCTATCTAGAGAATTAGGAGTAATTACAAGATTCAAATCCTATTCCAATCTGGCAACAAGTTGAAGCAACGATATTTATCCCAAAAATGGTTAAAGAAAGGAATTTTGAAATTATCTACTGGTTAAGCGAAGCAATAATTTCAAAAAGACATGGCTTAGGAGAAAAATCAACATCTTTTTTGGTCAAAAATCTTCAAATATAAAGTTTCAAGAAATACTCTTCAAAAAGTGTCCTTAAACATTCTTGGATATTGCCTGCTTCAATAGAAATTAAACAGTCTAACTGACCTCAAGTGGTGACAAGTAAGTATTTATAAGGGATTTGGATTTTGTTTACTGAGATACTATTTCAATAATAGATATAATAAATAATAGCTTTTATTTCTTTTTTTTTATATTACTTTATTTGTGTATATTTGTGTTGTTTTTTCTACCATTATTCTTTTTTTATCTCTTGCCCCTTGTATAGTTTTTACAAAAGGAGGACAATACAATTTAGGTTTATGGTCATAACCGTAGAGATGATCTGCAGACTGTAATTTTCATGATATAACTGAATCTTAATCCTAATCATCAGGCTAGTAATATATTACTTTTATAAATCATATTTAGAGGCTTAGGCTTAAGACGGGTGAGCTGAGTTGAAGAAATTTGTACTTTGCATATATTCTCGTGCATGTAATAGTTCTCTATGATTTAATAAATATACAATACCAGTCTAATTGCAGGTTAAAAAAAAAATAACAATTAATATTAATAGATAATTATAATAAATTAAATTTTAGAAAAAATAAAAATAATTTTAATTTTTGTATTAAAAAATTTTTTATAGATTTAATTATTTTTATTTTATTATATTTATATTTATATTTTTTTTATAATTAAACAAGTATTTATAGTATTTATAAAATATTATATTATTAGATTAAAAATTATAATTTTTATATAAAAATATTATATTTATTATATTTTTATTAAAATTTTTTGGAAAAAGTAAAAATATTGTTATTTTAAAAAAAGTTATTAAATTTGATTATATAATATAATTAGTTATATTACCTATTCAAATATTATGATTAATATTAATTAAATAAAGTAAAAATATAATTATAAAAGGTTTAATTTATATAAAGTTTATTTTAACTTTAATAATTTATTTTTTCTTATATAAAAATAAACCAATATTAAAATATTAAATAATAAAAAAATTTGTGAAAGTTGATACTATTAGTTAGTTGTGTTAGGCTAGAATTAATTTATAAAGCATGTAAAGATTTTTCTTAATATAGTGGGTATAAACTCTTATTTAATAAAAGTCTTGCATTTAATGTCTGTTTGCAATTAAGATAATAATAATAAAGATAATAATAAATTATATATTTATTTGCAATATAAAAACAAAAAAATAATAATTAAGACCTGTGGGTCTATAGCACAGTGGTTAGTGCTCCACAGGTCAGATCACAAGATACCAGTTCAACTCCATGTGA